TTACGAAAATTTCATCTGCGGGATTGATACCCATGTATACGCGCGGTTTCGGGACTTTCACCCAGGACACACATGCCAACTTAATTCAATGGAGTCCATCATCTATCTCCTCCAAAACAATGGAGTACATCCCTTTTCTCCTCCTAAACAATGGAGTACATCCATTTTCTTCTCCCAAACAATCGTACATATACAATGTATTTATAACTTAGTCATATTCAATGACAATCAACAAGAGATTAGTCCCAATTTACCTAATCCTCATGCAATTTCTACAACAATCATAACTACCTTCCACCGATAGCTCAATACAGATATTTATAAACATGTATTAAATCTCAAGACAGATAGTTTATTCAAATTTTCAAAATGTGTGAGATAATGCATATCCAACTCCACCATTAACATCAACATTCATCCAATGTCATATTTATAATACCAATTTCATTTATTTATACAAAATAAATACTTGAACCATTTTAGGTTAACTTTCCTATTTTCCAAATACCAACCCAAGTGGCAAAATCAACAATTGTGACACAATATAACCTCATTTTCAAACCTCATAACTATTTATATTACATTCACTATAAACCTCTCTTTTAATTTTACATCCCAAACCCTAGGTTTGTCCAAAATACTTCCAAAACTCATTATGTTACATAACAACCAATAACTAAGTTAAAATCTATAAAAAAAAGTGTGGAAAATCCCTATCTCAAAGTTAGGAGACAAGCAAAGCAAGGTGGAAACTTCAATGACGCTGAAACCAGGTTCCAATTGGATCAAATCGAAGCTCTAAGAATGCTTTAACTTTTTCTCAAAAGCACTAGCGTGGAGAACCCAATGGATCCAGGTAAAAATGTAGAGAGAATGTGAGTTTTAGAGAAAAAGACTCAAGACCTAGATTTTTGGAAAGTTTTAGAGAGAGAGAGAGAGATGAAAAAGTGAACTAAAAAGTCATCTTCACGGACTGATATACACGCAGTCCGCTACGTTCGAGCGCTAGATTTGACGCTCAAGCGTCACCTCGAGCACAAGAAGTGACGTTCGAGCATAGAATACACACTTTCGGAAGTTTTGTAGGTGAAGAACATCGCTCAAACTCAAGATTAGATACTTAAGCGCCCACCGGCTCGAGCGTATAATACACTCATCTAGTATTTTGCAGGTCTACAAAAATATTGAAAGTTTGCAAAGCTGCTTAAGCGCAAGAAGTGGCGCTCGAGCGGAAGAGTAAAAATTTAGACAACAAAGATTCGAAAATCAAGCAACCAACTTGTTCCAACAACGCCAATACTATCCAATAATCAAATTTAAGGAAAAATAAGAGGGAAAATACATAAATAACCATACAATGCTATGAAACTCGAGTCCAAAATACAAAATGGGTCGGGTCTAAACCAGAAACGCTATACATTTTTTCAAGTTTGGGAATACAGCCCCGAACATGGAAATTTCTTAACACCTTGAATGGTCAAAATTTTTAACACTTGCAGAAGTTATCGGAAGTAATCCAAATCCATTATTAGGTTCAAAAGTTATTCATTCATCGCGTAGCTTTAATAATATTGTTACGTAATTCTCTGCTGAACTCACAATTTTATAATATCTACCAACAAAACTAATCAAACCAATTATTATAATTTTTTTCTGCAAGAGAAGAAAAAGAGAACAGATTATTACTAGGAAACTAAGAAATTATGTATATATATAGAGAGAGAAAGAGAGAGAGAATATCAACTGTGACAATCATAGATGAGGCAGCAAGTAATCACATTCTTGGTGGGTTTTGTTAGGGTTTTTTTGGAAGAGGGATTTTTTTGGGGTGTGGAGATGTGTGGAGTGTGCATTTAATTGGTATAATGTTTTTACAAGGATAATTTGGGTATTATTTGAGGGGGAAATAAATTTTGAGGATTTTAAAATGAGTGATGCTATTAGCACCTACCAAAATTATTTGGACCCCCAATTTCTTTGGACCCCAACCCTAAACCCTAAATTTTAATAATATTTTTTTGGACACCCCACTTATTACCAAATTTACCCATATTTATAATATTTTCACAATGAAATGCACACCCACCTGAATCCATTCCAACATTAACCTTAGCCTAAATCCACAAGTAAATGCACGCAATTCACACCCCCAACCACACCTACTCTCTGCCTCTCTCTCTTTTCTCTCTCTCTCCTCATCAGTGATGTCTGTTCTCTCTCTTTTCTCCCTCTCTCTCAAAACCCCTTTTGTTCAGATGAGAAAGTGAAGATTCTTCTCCCTCTTCTTTCTCTCTTTCTCTAAAAAACCCCTTCAAAACCCTAGATTTTTCTCTAAATTCTCTCTCCAACATTAACCACATCTAAAAAGTGGTTCCTAAAAACACAATGGGGTTGGTGTTCTTCATCGATTGGGATTTCAACGACGTGGGTCTCTTTGGAATTTGCCATTGATTAGAAAATTCAAATGAAAAAGCGAAGATCAATGCGAATTATAGGAATAGAAAACAATGTATATATATGGAAAACTAATCTCCATAATATTTCCATAATATTTTTAGAATAGAAAACTAATCTCCATATTTTCACAATGAAATGCACACCCACCCAATTTGTTCACCACTGTGTAGCCGAAAAAATGTATTTTGTTCAGGCCTGTTTTGTCGAACAATAATGATTCTGTTAGCACTGTTTGTCCGAACAAAATTTGTTCATCACTGTGTAACTTGAATCCATTCCAATTCACAACTTAAAATAACATGAATTAAATCCATTCAAAAAACATAACTTAAATCCATTCCAATTCACTCTTTTCCATTCTAAGTTAGTTTAACAAAGAAAATTACATAACTGACTATCTGCATTAATGTTCGGAACCTATGTATTGAACGAAATGATTATGTTCAGTACTGTATTACCGAACATAATTCTAACAGTCAGCAAACCAGTACCGAACAGCTCGAACGAAACAAGAACGACCGAAAACGACCGAGAATGTTAATACAAGACAGATAAACGACCGAGAATGTTGTCATCGTCCTCCATTGCTCTACACAGTGAAATAAGTGATGAAGTATACGTTATACTTGAAACAAAACTTTCAAGTTTAATAGCGTTGATGATAGTGATAAAGATGACACATTCAGGATTTTAGATGATTATGAAAAATAATAGATTTAGGGTTTATGTTAGTTGGTTATGTGCGAATGTATGAAAAGCCTTTTTGCATACAGACTGTCACAGCTCAATGGACACTATTTATTTACTGTATTGGCTTCCGCCAGGCCCTGTACTCTGTTTTACTGTATTACTGTTAAGCAGGCCTTCGGTAATCTCGGATTACTGGCCGGTAA